GATTTATTATGTGTTTTAATTAGAATGCAATTCTTTGAACGAATTACCGTTCTTATGAATTTTTATATCGAGATTACAAATAAAATGCATTATTGTTATGTATATATGTATATTTTATTAATGTAACTCATGTAATAATTATATTTGAATATTATTTAGAGATGTAAACAAAACTACTGTAAAGTGAAAAAATATGAAATATAAGGATTTTTATAATTATATATTAACACTGAGAGCACCTTCTTCTTGTGCAACTGCGTATTTTTTCTGATTCATGTGTAAGAAAATAATTTGATTTACCGCAATATCATTTGAGGCAATGGAGCATCTTTTTTCAGAAATTACGTTGCGGGCACAAGAGAAAACTCGTTCTGAAGGTGCGCTACTTGCTGGTATTGCTAAGATTCGGCAGCTTAATTTGTGTAAAAAGGGGAACTCGTTCTTATGCGAATCCCACCACTTAAGTGTGTCGAAATCATCAAAAAATTACACTTCTGTGTTTTCGTATCGTCTCAACTCTGAGGCCACTAAATCCTCGTTGGTTTGAAAATCAGATGATCGAATAAAATCTGAAAACAGCTCTAAATTTTTCGATGAGATTGAGGCTACTGACAGTTGTTGTGGTTCTGTTATAGGCTCACAATTCTGTACTAGGCTTTGTATCAACTCGATACATTTTAATTTTATAAGATTTCGATCTTCTTCAGAAAAACTTAGCAATTTGTTTGCAGGGGGGAACAGGAATAGAGCAACTCGATGCCAGATGGACAAATTAGAAAAAACTACAGTATCCAAGTAGTGCCTAAGCTTGCTTTTCAAAGCCTGGGCAATACTTATATCCTCGTTGTTTTCAGCGCATTTCTTTTGAAGGCTGTTTACATAAATGTAGACTAAATGAATTGTTGGATATTTCTCTCCCTCTAGTATCTTCGAGGCTTCTTCAAAGGGTCGAATTATATCCAACACAGCAGTTATATTTCTTAAATCAATATTCTGTATACGATGGATTTCATGCTTTTCTTGTAATATGAAAACAACTTCGTCCCAGCTGCTTTTTAATGACGACAACAGATAATAGAAAGTATTCCATCTTGATGGACAAAAGCTTTTTAAGGACTTTCTTATATTTGAATTTATCCCAGACTTTTTAAAGTACCCCACTATATTGGTGGCTACATCGCAAATAAATTTTACTTCTGGGACTGCATCTATGGATTTCTGAATAACATTATTCAGTAGATGGTTAATACAATATATATGGGCAGTGCTGCGGAAAGCAGCAACCATATTTGATCCTCTGTCCGTCACGACGGTAACATTTTCAGTGAATACACAATCAAATTCGCTAAGTATGTTACAAACTTTGCAGTATATGTTATCACCTAAAGGATTTCAGAATAATTAATAAGAAATCAGTGGCCATTAAAATTTTATAATGGTATATACAACTTACTAGTACATTTTTCGCCATTCATGCTGCGTATTCCTAACAAAACGTTATTCAATTGTGTATCTTTTATATAATGCATTGTTATTGCCAAAAATGATTTGTGTAAATAGCTGTCCGTCCACAAATCGGTGGTTAGAGCGAACCCAATGTCCTTTACTTTAGTGATGTCGGATTTTATCTCAGAAAATGCTACATCGTAAAGCTTACAAACATTTCTTCCTACTGTTGTTGAGTGTGGAAGTAATGATTTTACATCGACGTGCCGATGGACAAAACGAAGCTAACAAGTTCATGAAGACCGGAATCTTCCACCAATGTAAAAGGTCTGCAGTTTTCAATAATCCATTTGGTAAATATATACAATGCTTTCCTTTTTGTGTCACTATCCACTAAAACGTTGTATACGTTATACAATTATCATACGGTTTAGTATTTATTAATTAGATATACCTCATTGTTTTCATTTTTAAATTAATTTGCGATATCATGTTTTTTATTATTTTTCTTTTTAAATTATTTTTCTTTTGGCATTTAAAACTCGATTCACTCGATTCAAAATATTTATTTTGTATTCTTTTAATATACGTAAGTTGTTAACTTACTCGATTTGAATGTAGACGTACACTTACACAAAAATACTCGCAATGATTGAGTAAAACAAAAATTTGAATTATTAAAATCAAATGTACACACTCTTTGTAAATAATATTCAAAATACAAAATGAGTTGAGTGCAATGCAGTGGATTACTCATTGTGGGTGACAAATAGAGTCACTCATGCAGGGCTCTATTAAATATATGTAAAATTTATTTAGATTAACTAAATATATTTAAAATTTATTTAACTATTATGCCCGTTAACACAAAGTATGGTTTAGTTAAATTAAACAAAAAGTTATCTATCTTGCAGTTAATTTAACAAGAATCTTTAACAGAAAGTTTAAAAATATCATTAACATTAAGCAAATGTTATTTAACTTTTAGTTAGTGTTATTGTGAATAATATTTGAAAATTAAAAGTCAAACAATTATAAAATTTTAATTTATTTTAATCATTTTAAAAACTATGAGTCAAAAAGAAAAAAGGATTCGGTAAGCAAATTTAAATATATTGTACTTAAAACTAATTGAACATTATTTTTCATAGTTGCCAAAACTTTTCTGCTCGTGAAGAAGATGCTCTAGTATCTTTAGTAGAGAAATATAAAGATATAGTTGAGTCTAAAAAAACGGACGCTGTATCTTGGAAACAGAAAAGATAAACATGGGAGAAAATAAAAGAAGAATTTTGTGTCCTGATACTCATCGTACTTCGAAGATGCGAAAAGTACGAAAATATGAAAAAAAGACAAAGGTTTTAATGTCTTCCCAAAAGAAAGAACTATATCTTACCGGCGGCGGTCTAAGCACTAATATAGAACCCAGTTCCACAACAAATCGTTTGGCTGCACTAATGGGTGATAGTGCTACTGGTCTGGAAAATTCATATGATTCATATGAGACAGGATTGAAATATACGATATTGAAATTATAGATTATTTTCCGAAAGAGAATGAGGATAATAATAATAACGAGGTGCTGGCATGTGCTGAAAAAGTTGTAAATGTGACAACAGAAGAACAAACTGTAATTTTTATATATTAACATTTCCTGTGTGCAAATATATATATATATATATATATATATATATATATATATACGAACGTTTATATACATATGTATGTGTATTACAGATTAAAAATTGGTCATCATGGAATCCATCAGATTTGCAGTCCAAAAAATCCCCAAAACTTTGGGTACCAATAAAACGTAAAATTGACAACGATAAGGAAAACAACTGTAAGGTCACAAAAGCACAATTAATTTTTTTCGAAAATGAAGAAAAGCGTGCTGTGGAACGTCATATGTGGGAAAAAGGTTTAAATGAAAAACGGAAACTGTGGGAAGAGGAATTAAAAGATAAACAAATCGAATTAATTAACCTTAAAATAGAAAGAGAAAGGACCAAACAATAAAATTAAGTAATTGGTTTTATGTAATTTACTATTTGTTATAATTTATTAAAATGAGAGCAAATAATAAATACAATCTATTTGTGTATTTAAAGACAAACATTTTATTTTGATTTCTGCATAAGGTTTACATCATTGCAAAATAGTTATTAATTAGATGACTTCTAACATGGGATTTTGCTATATTTGTTGAAAATTTATCTGTATTTGTAGAACTTTGATCATCTGTAGTTCCCGAATTTAAACTAACCTCTCCCTAGGGTTCTTCCACTTTATATTTGATAGCTATATTATGTAGCACTGCACATGCCACAATTATTGCCATTGATGTATCTATAGATACACGCATACCTAAACTTAATATAGGAAATCGCCTTTTCAATACGCCAAAACATCGTTCGATAGTATTTCGTGTTCGTATTTGTGACTCGTTGTACAGTATTTCTGCATGTGTTACGGGATTACTCAATGGAGTCATTAAATAAGGTTTAATGCCATATCCGCTATCACCTAACAAATAATAATCTTGAAATTCTCCATTTTCGAGTTTTGCCTTTATGTTGCTATTATTAAATATATTGCTGTCATGAGCTGACCCTGGCCACCTACATACAATATCCATAATTTTTAAATGTGCGTTGCAAATAGCTTAAAAAAATATGTTGATAAATAGATAGGATGCCATAACATATCTTTACCTACTTGTACATTAAAGGAAAAATACCCCTTTCTATTTCGATACAATTCCGCATTGTTGCCACCGGGAGACTGAATACGTATGTGAGTACAATCTATACTTCCGAGAACTTTTGGAAATTTTGCAATATTGTAAAAAGCATTTGCATTTGATTTAAGTTCTGTTACTTTTGGCATTTTTATAAATTTTGAATACAGTTTTGCCAATGCTTTTGATACTCTTTTCACAGTTCTACTTGCTGTCATTACATTTACTCCACAATAATCAGCGACAGTTATTAGAAAATTTCCTGATGCGTAATATCGAAGAGTCAACAACAACATTTCATTAACACTCAAAGCTCGATTTCTAAAAAAACATCAGTGGTCAACATAAATATCTGCATATACATGAAAATATACGATAGACTACACCTTGTTGAAACTGATTGTACATCTCTTGATATCAGTTGGCCAACATAACGAACGGCCTCCTTAGAAAGTCTGTATCTTTTTTTAAACTCATCATCCGCGATATTAAAATGATTAAAATAGACCTTTTGGCCATATTTTTTTGGTGCAGATCTATTATTTCTATTATATATGTTAAATAAATAACTGGAACTATTTAAATGATGTGACATTATTTGAATAATTTATTAATAATATTTTTCAAATTGTGGCAGTTGAAAATTAACTAGAAGAAATTTTTTGATTAAATGAACCTTATGGTTATTGCCAAAGAATATAAAGAAATTGGGGCTTGTCAGTTGGTACGTAAAGGAGTTGTCATTCGGTACCTAACTCTAAGTATGTATTGGTAGAATTTTTGTATTAGTATTGGAGCTCCAACTACTTCGAAGATGCGAAAAGTACGAAAATATGAAAAAAAGACAAAGGTTTTAATGTCTTCCCAAAAGAAAGAACTATATCTTACCGGCGGCGGTCTAAGCACTAATATAGAACCCAGTTCCACAACAAATCGTTTGGCTGCACTAATGGGTGATAGTGCTACTGGTCTGGAAAATTCATATGATTCATATGAGACAGGATTGAAATATACGATATTGAAATTATAGATTATTTTCCGAAAGAGAATGAGGATAATAATAATAACGAGGTGCTGGCATGTGCTGAAAAAGTTGTAAATGTGACAACAGAAGAACAAACTGTAATTTTTATATATTAACATTTCCTGTGTGCAAATATATATATATATATATATATATATATATACGAACGTTTATATACATATGTATGTGTATTACAGATTAAAAATTGGTCATCATGGAATCCATCAGATTTGCAGTCCAAAAAATCCCCAAAACTTTGGGTACCAATAAAACGTAAAATTGACAACGATAAGGAAAACAACTGTAAGGTCACAAAAGCACAATTAATTTTTTTCGAAAATGAAGAAAAGCGTGCTGTGGAACGTCATATGTGGGAAAAAGGTTTAAATGAAAAACGGAAACTGTGGGAAGAGGAATTAAAAGATAAACAAATCGAATTAATTAACCTTAAAATAGAAAGAGAAAGGACCAAACAATAAAATTAAGTAATTGGTTTTATGTAATTTACTATTTGTTATAATTTATTAAAATGAGAGCAAATAATAAATACAATCTATTTGTGTATTTAAAGACAAACATTTTATTTTGATTTCTGCATAAGGTTTACATCATTGCAAAATAGTTATTAATTAGATGACTTCTAACATGGGATTTTGCTATATTTGTTGAAAATTTATCTGTATTTGTAGAACTTTGATCATCTGTAGTTCCCGAATTTAAACTAACCTCTCCCTAGGGTTCTTCCACTTTATATTTGATAGCTATATTATGTAGCACTGCACATGCCACAATTATTGCCATTGATGTATCTATAGATACACGCATACCTAAACTTAATATAGGAAATCGCCTTTTCAATACGCCAAAACATCGTTCGATAGTATTTCGTGTTCGTATTTGTGACTCGTTGTACAGTATTTCTGCATGTGTTACGGGATTACTCAATGGAGTCATTAAATAAGGTTTAATGCCATATCCGCTATCACCTAACAAATAATAATCTTGAAATTCTCCATTTTCGAGTTTTGCCTTTATGTTGCTATTATTAAATATATTGCTGTCATGAGCTGACCCTGGCCACCTACATACAATATCCATAATTTTTAAATGTGCGTTGCAAATAGCTTAAAAAAATATGTTGATAAATAGATAGGATGCCATAACATATCTTTACCTACTTGTACATTAAAGGAAAAATACCCCTTTCTATTTCGATACAATTCCGCATTGTTGCCACCGGGAGACTGAATACGTATGTGAGTACAATCTATACTTCCGAGAACTTTTGGAAATTTTGCAATATTGTAAAAAGCATTTGCATTTGATTTAAGTTCTGTTACTTTTGGCATTTTTATAAATTTTGAATACAGTTTTGCCAATGCTTTTGATACTCTTTTCACAGTTCTACTTGCTGTCATTACATTTACTCCACAATAATCAGCGACAGTTATTAGAAAATTTCCTGATGCGTAATATCGAAGAGTCAACAACAACATTTCATTAACACTCAAAGCTCGATTTCTAAAAAAACATCAGTGGTCAACATAAATATCTGCATATACATGAAAATATACGATAGACTACACCTTGTTGAAACTGATTGTACATCTCTTGATATCAGTTGGCCAACATAACGAACGGCCTCCTTAGAAAGTCTGTATCTTTTTTTAAACTCATCATCCGCGATATTAAAATGATTAAAATAGACCTTTTGGCCATATTTTTTTGGTGCAGATCTATTATTTCTATTATATATGTTAAATAAATAACTGGAACTATTTAAATGATGTGACATTATTTGAATAATTTATTAATAATATTTTTCAAATTGTGGCAGTTGAAAATTAACTAGAAGAAATTTTTTGATTAAATGAACCTTATGGTTATTGCCAAAGAATATAAAGAAATTGGGGCTTGTCAGTTGGTACGTAAAGGAGTTGTCATTCGGTACCTAACTCTAAGTATGTATTGGTAGAATTTTTGTATTAGTATTGGAGTTCCAACCACTTTCACCACACTTTCCAAACATACATACTTGCATAAAATCGTACATAAAAATTTTATGAAAAATAAATAACATTTAAATTTCTACATTCGCAGATTTTTTAATTTATTTTGCCCACATCTAATCAGTAAAAATTTAATAAATATATTTTTCGGACTTAAAATCTCTTTTTTTGCAAAAAAAATAAGTTTATTTTAAATAATTTTTTCATTTTCAATACCAAAATATACAACTTTGTTTTGTCAATTTTAATATCAACACACAAAAATTAATTGTCAAAAAAATTAAAAAAATATTTTTTTAGTTTGTGAAAAATAAAAATATTTCGGATTGTTAAATGCGATAAAATTGTGTAAAAAATTAAAAAACAGTTATGTGTTTGTGAAAAAACGTCGTTCAAGTCCTATTATCCCGGTATTTTCGAGAAAAAGTTTTGAAGTATTGTGAGAGAATTAAGTTCTCACAAGTGTGTTGAATTTACACAGAACTCGTCTGTGAAGAGAAGGAAATGTTATTGTTGTAAAACAATGTCATAGTCCAACTTCTTATTATTCTTTGGTTATTGCTAACAATGACATTGTGTTAACGATTATTTTTTAATCTTTTGTTAAATATTTATGTTAGTGCTAACTTTGGGTTAAGTTTTTTATTGTTAACGGGCCTTAGTTATATAAATTACACTTCGCTTTAGTAAAATATTACAATTTTTTTGATAATTATGCAAAACATGTAAAAAACAGAGAAATCTGAATGAAAATTAGTTCCAGTGCATGTTCTGTAAGCTATTTATGGCTCAAGTTCATTAAATCCACTAAGTAGTTGAAAATACTGTGGAAATAGACACCTTTTTAAAATTTGGAAAGTTTATGTAATATGATCTGCTTTTTCAAGTCGTGATAGTAGTTTGTTAAAATTAATAGACATCAGTTTTCTTCAGGGGAACTTATAATAACACCGGTATCCATGATCCAAATCTAAGTATATTTAAAAATGTTATGTGTAATGTTAACTATTAATGTATTATATTTACAGTATCAATCAGCAGAATTTAGGATTTAGGGACCGAGTTTTGAAATATTTTATTTATAATTTATTTTTCCAATTTACTGACTCTAATTTCACAATGTATACAAGAAATGACAAAAATGTAAAATAAAATTCCAAATAATAAAGAAACATGAGAAATATGTCGAAACAAAATGCTCTCCAGATAATTTTGGAGTACTTCTGCACTATATGATAGTTAGCTTGTAGCTAGTCTTTAAAAGTCGGTTGCTTACGTTGCCAAATACCAAATTTTGGAACATTTCTGCATTATATTGTAGTTCGTTTATAGTCAGTCTACTAAAGTTAACAAAAAAAATTCATAATAATGGAGAAACAAGAGAAAACATGTTGAAATAAAATTCTCTCCAGATAATTTTGGGGCACTTCTGCATTACATGATAGTTAGCTTGTAGTTAGTCTTTAAAAGTCGGTTGTTTACGTTGCCAAATACCAAATTTCAGGACAGCTCTGCATTACTTTGTAGTTAACTTATAGTCAGTCTGTAGAAGTAAACTAGAAGTGAATTTTTCTCGTAGTCGACCACAAAATTGCTGGTAGGGTACTTATGTTTTAATGTATTGATGATGTATGTATTAATGCATATGTTGTTGTTTGTGCATGTATTGTTACATGTGTCTAATTGGTATTCAAACGATTAACCGTCGATTGATAAAATTTTGGCGATTAATTGCTTGAATAAATGAAAATACAAATATAATTATATATAAATTTTTGTCTAAGAGCAGGTTTTTGAGATGGTAATCAAATGCCAATTAATAATCAGATTAGTTAATCTAAAAATATATATAATCTTATGTTAATCCCCTTTGTTTTTGAGTACAAGATTAAACTTCACAGTGTTGCCATACAAAACAACAGAAAACTTCACTGTTTGTTATCAAAACAATGCATATTTTATAAAAAAGAAGAAGACAATTGTAAATTTAATATGAAAATTAATGAAAACTTAAATTAAAAACAAAAAAATGTATTTTGAAGTGTCCATAATTTATACTAATCAATAAATAGAACATTTTAATGTTTATATTTATAAAAATTTTATTAAATTTTTTGCATCAGCTGTTTACACTTTTGTATTTCGTGCTTAACATTAAACCACCTCCATTGGGCGCTTAAACTTGCAAACAAAATTAACTAATTGAGTACTCAAAAACATCTTTCGAGGATTAATTTTAATTTAATCGCTAATCTTTCACCTAAAGATTGGCCCTAATAAATCTACCAAAAGTATTCATATAAACATTTATTTGTAACGGCTTTGAAAATATTTTCTGTGTATAATTTTATAAAGAAAGCAACTAAACTAAATTGTTTTTGTTTTGTGTTTAGTTTGTTTTGTTGCTGAGAAATTCATATTGCGTATATAGTGAGAATAACACATTGCCCGCAGGGGCATGTTTGGCCACCGTTGATATATATGTAACAAGAGTGTTATATTCTGCTGTGCCGAATCTTATACATATGTATACCCACAATCAAATCGTATGACGTAAAAGAAATGCTCCTCTGTAAACATCAGAAAGATAAGGCTGAAGTCAATTATGCACGTGATCTTCAAATTAACAAAGTAATAATTTTTAAAAACAAAATATTTTTGTCCAATTTTTTAACAATGAACATATATGAGAGGTCAATTATGGACTGTTTGTCGTAAAATTTGGTAGAAAGATTTCGTATAACACTTATTCGTTTCGAATTTCATTGTTGTTCTCGTATTTTTAATTCAGTTATAAGCGTAAAAGTTATTATCTAAAGGGGAACTTATGTGTATGGGGTAGGAACAATTATGTATCGATACCCATACAATTTTGTACATAGATTTTGTTTTGTTGGCTTGACCAATCCTCATAAAATTCGGAATGAAGAATTATAATAAAAAACTTTTTATGGCGAGTACAACGATGAAGTACTCATGGAGCCTTTATATATGAGGGGGCATTTAATTCGGTAGTAAGAGTACCCTACCCCCCTTTTTTGTGAAGGGGACCTTATATTTGGGGGTAGGGTCAATTATGGTCCGATTCCCATAAAATTTGGTAGATAGATTTTGGCTTATATAAAACTTATTCATGTCGAATTTCATCGCTATATTTGTATTTTTATTTATGCCAAATTTCATCGCTATACTCGTATGTTTAAAACAGTTATGACTGTTAAAGCTGTTTTTCGGTGGGCCACTTGTATGGGCGCTATGCGAAATTTTAACTCGCTAGCTCTTTCCGTTCGAACCCTATCGTGCTTTCATGTATGTATGTATGTATGTATGTATGTATGTATGTATGTATGTATGTATGTATGTATGTATGTATGTATGTATGTATGTATGTATGTATGTATGTATGTATGTATGTATGTATGTATGTATGTATGTATGTATGTATGTATGTATGTATGTATGTATGTATGTATGTATGTATGTATGTATGTATGTGTGTATGTATGTATGTATGTATGTATGTTTGTATGTATGTATGTATGCATACATGTCACTGATGATTTATTAGGATGCGCTGTTCAAGTTGCGGTATTTCATTTCACCTGAAAAATATCGTAACACGTATAATACTTACTTAGCAGATTTCCCACTGTCTTTTTTTAAATAGGAAATAAGGCTCCTATAAAGATCATAATGTTAAAATTTTTGTATTTTTTAAACATTGAAACAATAAAGTCAATAATGGAATCTCATAAATTTTGAACGTTATTATGACAAACCAAATAGAAAATGTCTTTATTAAATATTTTATATGTGAGTTAATATCAATAAATATCACCGATTAATCTCGAAATTTTATGTATATAACTTTTCGAAAACTTTCACAAAACTGTAGTTGATTATTCATTGCCACCCTAATGAACATTCATGCATGTTTAGTGCGTATATTTACTTGGAAGACATGTTGGCGACTGAAACGACATACATATTTGGATGTAATGCCATTTATAGAATTGATGATATCTATGAAATCATACGGAGATAATCGGAACAACGGAGCATTTTTCTTCCTAACTAATGCCAATGGAATGTCACAATCTTCATTGGGGAACAATAACATTGATAGACATCATCGTTGTCGTTGTTATGTGTAGTAATTGTTATAATTTTTACGTTTTTTTTTCTATCTGCTGTATTTGTGTGCTTGTAATGTTTTTATGTGCCACATTTGCTCAAATGTGTAGTCAATGCACGTGGATCCTCAAGTATTTTCTGTATTAGGAAAATTGTAAATACCAGCATTGTACAAGTATTGCTACATGCAGACGTCTAGAAAAAAGATATACTAAGTATTAACACGACCGTTTTATTCACTACATTTTTTAGAACCATTATCGTTTAGGCAATATTTAGATTTAAAATTTTACTAATTTTTATCCTTTCATTACATATACATACATACATAAGTATTTTATTTTCACGTTTTG